AAAAAAAAAAAAAAAAAAAAAAAAAAAAAAAAAAAAAAAAAAAAAAAAAAAAAAGATGGAACCAAAAAAATATTGGATGCACAACAATTAAGATTGCATTCTAAGTCCATGGAACACTAAGGAAGAAGTTGGCTAAAACTTTACCTTTCATGAGCTAGTCCCTTAACAAAGTAGTCAATAGAAAAGCTATTACAAAAACCATAAGACATTAGCTTAGCATCACTTCAATTGCCTTATACAGCCCGAGTAAAAATAGGACTAGGCAACGTAAATGTAGACCACTGAATGAAAAGGAATATCAAGATCACAATTAGGGCTTGAAGTGGATAACTAGGTAGTCATAAATATGATCTATAAGACTGATCATTGAGGTTTCCAGGCTTCACTAGTGTGAATAAAGCTGAAGAATATACAAAGAAAATTTAGACAAAAGAACTAGTACCTGTATTGTGGGTCAATATCGCCTGCACTAGCATTTAAGCCTTTCACGGAGAGAGCAAACGCCACCAGCAAGACAAACCAATGGCACTCCCTCATCTGTTAGGAAATTTCTCAGAGATTAGAGACGTCCAAGTGACTCAAATATTAAGCTCAGACAATTATGAAGAACAATTAATATCATGGGCATCGATTCTTGTAAGCTCCAGCCACTTCCGCATCAGTGCGTTAGAAAGCCAGAGCCGTGTAAGACCCGAAGCTTATTCGTGCGTCAATGAAACGGAAAAGGAAGATGACAAATAATGAAACGAACAGAGGAAAAGGGATTAAAGAATAAAGATAACTAAGAACACAGAGAAATGGGCCGAGTCTTGAAGATTGTTCATTCCTAAGATAGGGAAATTGAACGTCCTACACCTAAGTCTTCGATTCGAAATCAAAACGACCCATGATAATGGAATCCAACACATCAATTAGCCAATCGCTAAACGAGTTCAAGGTGGATCAGTGTAAGAATCAGGTCGTAAAATGGCAGACTGGATCATTATAAGGTTGAATCGGATTTGAAAGAATCAGAAATTACAGAGGATGAGGAAAAAGGCAAGAGGAGGAGAGAATTGAGTTGTTTTACCTTTTGGGCAGTGGATAGGGAAAATCAGTGAAGCTCCGACAATGGCGAAAAGAGCCGGGAAACAATTATTTAGGAAGAAAGGCAAAGACCTAGACCGAACATTGGGGGAATACGAATACGGTCTCTTCCGATCCATTTCTCTACCGATTTTGTTTATTACTATTTTTTATTAAAAATAAAATAATTGTTTGAATTTTATGAACAAATATGAGAAAAAAAAAATTGATGATACGATTAAATAGATTCCTAAACATAAAATTTTAAAATTTGTCAAATAAATTCTGATTGGTGGAAGATGATGGTGAGAAGGAAGATACCCCATCCGGAACGATGGACCAAAGAAGCAACGCCCGACTGCCGGCGCGGCAGACTAAGCCCAGAAACAAACAGGACCAGGAGGGCTCGTGTGTGCAAATATCCCAAGTTTGGGCCCTTAAGTGAAATTTCGCAAGTTTTGGGGAGTAAAATGTTATATATATATAAAATAAAAATTATTTGCCCTTCTTAGGGAGTTAAAAAAATCATAAAATTAAATCACCAATACATCAACCCCATTATGGATCTTTTAATATTTAACTTAAACCACGACATTTTTCATTTAATAACTAACATAATAATAATAATAATAACCAATTACCCCAAGTCCCATTTTTTTACCCAACCAAACTAATTTAATCATTATCTTAAAAAATTAATTAAATTTTAAAAGATTTATAACACGAGCCTAAATAGAAATTTCAATTAATCATATTAGGTTTGGCCGAAGATTTAAACCTACATTTTTAAACGAACTTAACTAACCTATGTTTGAGCTTGGTAGGTTATCCCATTCATATAGCTCGGGTTGACCACGTGCACCTATAAATTACATTTTGTCTCAATAAAAACATGCATTATTAGCATGTTCATTTCTTTCCTCTCTTATTTTTTCACACTTTAACCAAACCCTTTCGACCATTCCTACTTTTCACCTAATATAAAGTTAAAGCCTTCTTGTGTCTAGGGGCTTCATTGCAATATTTCTAACTTTTTTTCTTTTCCCTCATGGTCCTTCAATTTATCATCACTTTCAATTTTCACCCAACTTTTTAATAATTTAACATTTCATGACACCGTCTATGAATTTTGAGGTTCGAGCATCAAATTTGATGACCCTATTTTTTTTATTTTAATTCAAAATAGAAAAATTAGGTCTTAGCCTACCTAGTCATTCTCGTAGATTTGAGCGTTGCAGTATGACAATAAGATAGACTTAATCTTTATCCAAATATTTCCACATTATAGAAAGACCTGAGTAAATGAGATGTGTATATATAAACGTCAATTGAGCAAATTAATAAACCAGGCATGTCTCGCATTTAATTTTTAACTTAAAATAAATTTGACAAGCAAAAAAACACTGTATATATTTTCAATTTGATAGTGTTTTTAACAAAATCATTTTTACCATTAATTGTATTTCCACATTTATGGGTTTTTCTTGGATCGAAGATAAAAATGAAACAAAATTGATCCACCATTTCATTAATAAATAAATTCTTCGTTTGTTTTAATAATAATATTATTATTTCAAAAATTATAATAATTTTTTGTCCTTTTATCATACGGATTTGGAACAAACTAATAATCTAATCGGGAGACTTTGAACTACACCCGCGAACATACGAATTGTTATCGAGTTAGGTTAAACATTCCTACCGCATAACATCAAATATTTTAAAATTTTATAATAATCTTGCAAGTAAGATAGAATGGAGTTGGATCGTAACTTTAACTAACCCAAGTTGGAAAAATATATACATAAAAAGTTTTGGAAAAGGGACACAAGAAAAAAGAAAATCCCGGGATGAGGGGCGAGGAGTGGTACATTGGTACGGTGGGTGTTTCCGAAGTTTGTTTGTTCACCGAGAAAGTGTGTGGTCAATTCATTTTTCTGGTGAGGCGCCGACCGCATGCCTCTTTCCCAAACACATTTTTGATTCCACCAACGATCGTTTTCAGATCCATTCAACAAAATAATCCGATTTCAGTGTCAATTTCAAAATGAATCCTCAAAAATCACAAACAAAAAACTTCAAATCTCTGTTCATCTTCCCGGATCCCAAAAGATCACGGAAGGCTGTTTCCTATTTACATCACAAACTAACACCATCCATCATCCATCATCCATCCATGTCTACAAAACAGATTCAAGAAAAAGAAAGAAAATCGGGATTTCCGACGGCCTTCCCTACAGGAATCCGCCGGAGAGAGACGAGAGAATACTCTGGAGGTCGCGTGACTCCTGGTCGCCGATTCGGATGGCCTCTAGGACCCGCTCGAACACCAGCACGTGGCAGGGTATTCGAAGGACGCCTTTCTGTTCGTAACCGTATTCCTGGGCGGATTTCTCTAGTAGAGTAACGAAAACCGGGTGGTTCAGTAGCTCCGCGCTCACGGAGAACCGCTCCATCTCGTCGCCGACGTACACTGGGACGTGACCCTGGGGGACCGGGACGGCGCCTTCGGATCTGGAGCGGCGGAATTTGTTAGCGGCGGCGGCACGGAAGGAGTGGGCGCGGCCGGGGCGGCGGGCGGCGGCGGCGGAATGGGAGTGGAGAAGGCAGTAGTGGGACTGGGAGGAGTCGGCGACGCGGGAGAGACGGCGGATGAGCTGCTTCATAACGGAGTGGGAAACAAGAATGTTGCAGAGGAGAGAGAGAGAGAGAGAAGGGAGTGGGAGATTTGGGGTTTGGGAAAGAGATGGAATGAGTGTTTGTATATAAAGTGGAAGAGGAGAAATTAATTAATTAATTAATTTTAAAAAATGTAAAGGAATTGATTATGAAATTGAAATGAAAGGGAAGGTTGAGAGGTACAGGTAGCAACGTACTTTCCAGTTTACTTTCTCAAAATATAATAAAAAAAAAATAGAAAAACTCAAATAAAAAGGATCAAATATTTTTTTTATATTCTAATCTCTATCAAAATTAACATTTTTTTAATTTAAAAAAAAAAAAAAGGCGAAAATCACGAAAATCAAAATGGACAAAAACTTTGTTAAAATAAAAAAATAAAAACGACAAGAAGTGGAAGCACGCAGACCAACAAGGAAATTATTTAATTAATTATTTTAATGTGGGGAATTATAGTTATTTCCGTAGCGCATTTCAGTACAGCTCCGTGATCTCATTTTCTCCACCACCTTCCTTGACCCACGCGTGATATCGACGCTCCAAAGTCGACATGTAGTCGCGAGTTTCAGCCCAAGTTTCCGGATGTAGGTCGCGACATGTCGGCAAGGGATAAAAATACAAAATAGTTTCTATTTTTAAGTAACTTAATAACATAATTGTGTGCGCGCTCTTTAAAACTTATTCGTATGTTCTAGAAAGAAATTGAAAAAAAGGAAAAGAAAATAGAGGACAGGTGGCAGGATGAGAGTGGTGGTGGGGTTGTTGATTAATAATATCCGCCACACTATGTGGAGAGTTGATTAGAGGATAAGCATTGGAAATAAATTAGTATGATTCAACCGTGGTACGATAGGACCAATAATTTCAAACCACTTACAACGTCTATTTAATTTTTAAACCTACCTCTTTTTTTTTTCTTTTTTTATATATATATATATATATATATCTCCATTATATTTATGTATTAACGCTTGAAAATATTTTAAAATTTATTTTTGGAATATAAAAGATATTTTAAAGAAAAATTATTAAAAGAAAATGAAGAAAGGGATTGGGAGGTCCTATCCGTGATGCCGTACGGTCAAAAGGTACAAGGAGAAAAGTACAAGGAAACGGTGAGGCCCCACTCAAAGCTCTTTCTTTTTTATTTTTGTACGCAGCCTCCCTTTTCTCCTGTTTGGTAACACTCTTTACATATTCCATTTAAGGGCATCACCTATGATTTCAATTTATTTTCATTTCAACTTTTAGTCAACCCTTTCTTCTCCTCTTTCAATTTCCACCTCCTCTCTCTTTTAATGTAGTCTAACTTATTGAGTTGGAGTCTCGTAGGCCTTAGTCGTTACACAAGACCCACCATAGAGGTATGTAGTCTACTCCAACTCAACTCGACACATACTTCAATCTAAGCATCAAAGCGCGTTAGACACTGTATAACATCAACATGAGTATCTATCCGAATGCAACGTCTCGAGATCAAATTCTATCTCAAAATCAAATTCAAATTTGGAATTAGGGTTAAAGGAATGTTTAAACTGATAGAAGGAGAGAAGAAAGGTGGGGTTAAACGGCCTTATGAGAAATCAAAAGCCAAAATAGAAATATAACCAAAATCATGATCTTGTATTGTTTAATGCCCACCACCAACCTCCGCCCAACTATTATGCTCTCCATCTATCCCTCCACTTTCCTCCTTTCATTTCTCTCATTTTCCCCCCCAATCACATCATTCCTTTCCACTCAATTTTAAATCAAAAATAAATAAATAAATAAATCAAGGGATTTTTTTTATTTTTTTTTAACGAGTATTAAGATCTTGGATTAACATTAATATTGTAATCATTAACACTAATCATTATGTGTTGCTTGCTTAAAAAGTTTTATCTTATCTATCCGTAAAGCTTTTGTTTAGTAATTAAAAAATTAAATACCATGTGCTAAGTGGAATGACGCCAATGTTCCAATTACAATCCTCTAATAAGAATAATCATATTAAGATTTTGTATTTGATATGCAATACTACTTGACATTCTCTTACATCTGATGCTTCAGAATTTATATATTTTATTAATATTAAATGAATGTTGGGTTATATAAAAAAGAATATTAAGTATGAGTTGAGGGGGATTTTGATGCGCAGCTTTACGCCTTTAATGAATCGGATTGTGGGGATTTTTTTTTTGGGCAATATTATTATTATATATATATATGAAGTTATTTGAATTTAATTGTTTATTTATTTAAATAAGTTGTATTTTGAAGGGTACGGTGGATGAGTTAAAAAGGAAGGAAAATACAAGGAAACTTCAGGGACCGGACAAAACTAGACGATGAGGACATAAAACATTTTTTTAAATATTATTTCGACCTGTAAATGATATTTACACAAATTAGAATCAAATGGAACGGAACTTTTCTTATAGATATGTGAAAACTTGTTTTGAAAACGGTCAAACTGACAACAATATATAATAAAGATGTTAGGTCTCAGATGTATTGTGAGATATTGTGAGACAGAAGAAAAGCAAAATATTTTTTTATAAATATTTAATTTAGGTTTAAATTTTAAAACAGGACTAAATTGGTCATCATTTATGGGACCAATGTAGACATTTTGAAGTGATAATAGTCCAAATTTAATCAATTTTGTTTATACTAATTAATTTTTGGTCGGTTAAATGGTCCAATAATTAATATTAAAATATTAATTTCACATTCGTGCATAGAAGTAAACGGTTGTGATTAATTTTGGTCGGGGATATATATATTTTTTAATTAACTCTAAATTCCAAGTAATTCTCAAAATTTCAAATCTTTTTATTATTTTAATTCTATTTTAAGGACCCAATTTTGAAGGGAAGGAAACTGACTATTTTTTTTTACCAATTCTTTGAAAATGAAATGTTTCCACAGTTTTTAATTATTTTATTAAAATTATTAAGGTTGATAAAAAAAATAAAAAAAAAAATTTAAAGTTATTTTAAAAGTAAAAGTTTAAAAGATTTATTTATTTATTTTGTTTTTTGAAAATTTAAAGTTATTTATTAAAATTTGAAAGTAGGATATATTTGGTACAAGGATATATTTATAAATGTGAGAGTAGTCAAGTCTAACCGAGCCGTCTGGGAAGCTGAGCCATTAATTTCACCCTTAGCTACGTGGCATTGCTCACTGGCTATCCCCACCCCTAATTTCTATCTATTATTGTTTTTTATTTTTTATGGCTCTTCTCTTCTGCTGACTTGCATACATTTATTGTTTTTTTTCTTCCACAACCAATATTTTAGAATAAATAAATAAATAAATAAATAATTTAATATTCAACAACTCCCACTCTACTCGACCATAGCCAATTAAAGAGTTCATGTTTGGACGATCAACGTGGCTCGTCCTATCGAATAGAGTTCAGTACTAGTCTCGAGAAAATAAGATGAAGAGACTAAATCGACCTGTCAAATATTTATTCCATATGTGCATGTTTGCACAGATTTAGAGTCAAATCCAGCGTGTTGTTTAAATTTTTACTCTGTGTATGTACATACGGGAGATTTAGAATCAAATCGAATGTGACGTTGCGAAAGGTTTTGAAAAAGAAGGAAGAAAAAAAGTAACGAGAATGGTCTGTGTGGGGGAAAATTGTGACAACAAAGCTGAAATATGAACCTGAATTGACTAATAAAGTTGTTGGCCATTGATTGTGTATTTAATGTAGGCGAAGAAATTTGTGCTCCAATTATGTTGGTCTTTAAAATAGCCCACTTGGACACTTAAATGTTGTATTTAGAGTGTGAAATGGGAGAAAATTTAATGACATCAAAAGAAGAAACCATAGAAATTGAGTTTTATTTTCAATAAAAGGGGCTGTGCTTTGCATTATTTCAACCATTTTTGCAAATAGGTTTTAAAACAAGTCAAAATGTCTATTAGCGGTGGACGTAGGTTGTTATAAATAGTAATACCATGTGGTGTGTCAACGATGACGCTTGGGCCACCTAAGGGGCGGATTGCGAGATCCCACGTCGGTTGAAAAGAGAAATGAAACGGTTGTGAGACTAACAACAATACGTAACGGGCCAAAGTGGATGGTATCAAAGCTAGTCATCGAGCGATTCGAGGCACTAGTCGAAATAGGGCTAGACCGGACAATATATAAAATGAGTTTGGTCATTGGGTCGAGATGAATGGCTTGAATATGACTCCTCGTTCTCTTATTTGTCTGACTACGTGTTGAAATGCTTTGTTTTGACTCTAACTATCACCGCATATGATATAGTTACGTTTTAATTATTTAAAAATGTTAAAAATGCATTTTTAATTAATTGAAGGAAAGTATTTTATTATTACCCGTTGTTGTTGTTGGGCCAAAAGCAAACAAGGGTTGGGCCCATCATGTTTGGTTTGAGACAGAAAGTGGGCGGGCTTTTTAAATCAACACACACCGTACGATTTTAGAAATTAAATTTAAAATTTTGTAATTAAATAATAATAATAATATTATTTCTTTCAGTCTTGTTTATACCGTTATAAAATCTCTAACATTTTAGAGATTCATATATTATGGCAAAATAAAGTAAAATAAAATCAAGCATAAATAATAATAATAATAATAATAATAATAATAATAAAAGGTTTAAACGAAATTTGAAAATTTGAAATAAAAGAATAATCGGTCGGGGGCTCTGTTTCTGCTGTCTTCCAAAGGGAGCGTCTCCTTTCTTCTTCTTCTTCTTCTTCTTCAATTTCTATTTCTCTCAACACGAACTCGGACCGAATTTGTTTAGTTCGAATTCATTTGATTTGGGGTTTTGTACATTAGGGTTGGATTTCAATGCCTATGGCGACCGCACCCTTGAGCAAGATCGAGCGAGCCCACCAGATGTATCGCGAGGGGGTCTATCTCGAAGCCCTTAGGTTTTACACTGAAGCGCTTGCCATGGCCACGACCTTGCCCCAGAGGATTTCGCTTCATAGTAATAGGGCTGCTTGTCACTTGAAACTTCATGATTTTAAGAAGGTATATCTATCTCTATCCAATAACAGCCTGCTGTTTTATTTAGGGATTTGTGTCCATTTGATGATTCCCGATGGACAATTTCTGTTGCTGTTAGTACGATATTGAATTCTTATTTCGAAACTGTAGTGTTTAGACATGATTAAATTGAATATTGAGCTTCAAATCATGGCAATCAAACCCCTCGATGCCTGATTTCCATTTTAGGCAGCAGAAGAATGCACTTGGGTTCTTGAACTCGATCACAATCACACTGGAGCGTTAATGCTCCGTGCCCAGACTCTTGTCACACTCGAGGAATATCATTCTGCTCTTTTTGATGTCAACAGACTTGTAGAACTGAACCCATCATCAGAAGTTTATCAGAATCTTCAAACTCGTCTCAAGACGCAATTGGTATGCCCTTACTACTTTTTCTTATCATGCTGTTTGTTATGTCATCTTTTTCATTTTGATCTTGTTAATTTATAATGTCTATGGTGAACAAGTTGTATTAGAATTCATTTTGTTTGTATGACTGCAAGCCTGCAAGATGCTGTTGTCATTGATTTCTGGGTTTTTGTTTTGTTTTTTGAAAGTGAAAGAAATGGTTGAATCTTGTTCTATCTTCAACTCATGGTTCTTGCTTGATTTTGTTTAATGTGTACTATTATGCTTTCGGCCATTGGTGAATTATCTGTTTTTTGCTTAAGCCACTTGCTCCAATACTCGAATCAGAAGTAGAGATAGCGCTAGAGATAGCTTTTGTTTAATACATACTATCATGCTTGCGGCCATTGGTAAGTGATCTTTTTTTCTGCTCAAGTCACTTGCTCCAATACTCGAATCAGAAGTGGAGCTAGAGGAGGACGAAGACGACTATGATGTTCAGTTCAATGCATATGCAGCCAATGAGGGAAAAGAAAATGTTGTAGCTCCATGTATTGAGCAAGTACAGAAACCTAAGCTCAATAGCAATTTGACAAACAATACCGTTATCCAGGCAGCTCAGGGCAACGGCGGAGTATCTAAAGAAGGTGGCAATCAGAAAGCTGAGGTCAAAATGATTAGTAAAAGTGAAGTTGTTGCCCTTCAAACACAGGGCAAGAAGGGCACAACTGACCTAGATCCTAAGGGCTGGCAAACAATCCCAAAACCAAAAGGACATTCAACTTTGGATTATGCACGTTGGGATAGAGTTGAGGATGATTCTAGTGAAGATGATGATGATGATGAAGAAGAAGAGTCTGGGCCTCAATTTCGTTTTCGTCTTAGAACAGTTGGCGCTAAATCCGTGAAATGAGCTGAAGATGCATCATACAATCAAATGTCTTGCTGTCTTGATAGAAATATGACACAATGAGCAACTCTGACCACTGTGGATTTGGAAATTCACATGTGTAAGATCAGTATTGTTGAGACCTTCATACCTGTTTAACATGTATTTGGTTACCAGAAAAATTAGCACTGCGGATCTGATCGACGAGCAAGCTCTGCACGTAAGATTTAAACAGATTGGTTCGAATAACGTGTGCTGCAAAACATCAATGTCTAAGTGGTTATCAGAAATGGACAATCCTGTAGGATTGATGTCTTGGACATGGATGATATTTCTGGTATCTGCTGTTCAATGCATGTTTCTGTTTCCTGAGAAAATGTGGTACATATGTTATCAGCAGCACATAGGCTTCAAATTTCATGATATTTGGAAGAACAAATACTTGAGTGATGATAACTGAATGAATCATTCATTCACTGCTCCTTGGTGTACCTCTATCTCTGTTGTTTACTTGCATTCCTTTGTTTCTTTGTCTGTGTCTTGTTTTCTTTTGTGTTTGGCTAGCTTCATGAACAACACCGTCAGTCTCACAGTTGTAAAACGCGTCTACTAGAGAGAGGTTTCCACACCCTTATAAGGAATGTTTCGTGTTCCCCTTTCCACACTCTTATATCGGCTAACCGTTGGCTTGAGTTGTTACAATTTTTGGAGACAAAAACTAAGAACATCAATAAGATGGTGCTATGAATTGCTTGAAGAGATGGTGCTATGAATTGGTTGAAGAGATGGATGGTTTTGGGAATAGGCTAAGGTTGCTTCTAAGCAATGAAAAGAATTCTCTGGCTTGAAATCTTAATATAATTTATTAGGCGTTTTAAGTTATTTTATTTATATTTACATACATTAATTATACACGGATATTTTATATAATTTAATTAATATAAATTATAAGAATTTTAATAATTAATTTTTAAAAGATGTAATTACAAATATAACCAATTATAAAATAAAAATTTAAATTACAAGAGTATATTCTTAACTTTATTAAATTTATATAAATTGATAAGAGTGAACAATTTTTAAAATAGAGAAACCAAATATTATTAGTTAATTTATTATTGTTATTATTATTTTGGGAGGTTCGTCCCATCGTACGAAAGCAGCGTGAGAATGGAAAAGGCCGAAGTTTCCATAAAAATTCTGAGCTTAGTTCACTGTCGAGTGCTTTCTGTTCTATCTTCCTCATAAACCCTAATCAACCATTGCCAAGTTCTTATTATTCTTCTGGGCATTTTCACCTGCCCTCATTATTTTTGCCCTTAATTTATCTCCTCGTAGTGCAGCAATTGCCCGAGTCCTTGCAATTCCTGGCCAATTTCTTTCCTTCTCTTCGTCCAGTTTTTAAAGGTAATTTCAATCGCATCATTACCCTACTTGTCTAAGTTTGAATACTTGATTGTCAATCTCGTATGTGTACGAGCTGTTCTTTTGTTTGCGCAATTTTTGTTCCTTTGAATCTGAATTTTAGTTTGGGAAATACTCGCTGCCTTCTGTTATGATTGTTGCATTAAAAAGGTTATGTTATTATTGGTTCTCTTGCTTGGGATATTGGGTCTTTTCTGGAATGCACTTGCCCTTGCTTTAGCTTTTGATACAGAATTGAATGGAAAGTTTTGTTCGAACTGAGGGGAGGGGGGAATGAAATGTTTAGGGTCTTTCCTTTTATTTTTCTCGTTATGTAATGTTCAGAGGAGCCTGACGGTTTTAATTTTCTTGTGGAGTTTGGGGTGTTGGGCATTTGATGAGCACTGTAGTTCTCGTTTATTAGCTTTTCATGGAGATGCACTATCCTTTGAAACTTTTCTTAGAGAGAATTTTTGTATCTTTTCAGTGTCAAAGCTCCCAGTTTCTCCACCTGAAACTAGTAGTTAAAAATGATCGGAGTTGTGGCTGCTTACTCTATACTATTTGGTATTGCTAATTCACAAGAAAGTTTATCATCATCATTTGTTTGAATTTTAAATATTTTATTTTGGTTTCAAATATGTCTTGTGGATTTAGGTTGTAATTTGTAAGTTACTGGATTTGGTGTATCTAACTCGGTTTCCTGAATCAACTATTATTTTCCATGAACCTTCTGTAACAGATATGCACATGGAGAATTTATCGTCTACTGAGCCATCGCATCAGGCAATTTATGAAAATAGTGATTCAAAGCAATCACAGGATGGGTTGGAGGATGGCTCTCGATGGTATTTTTCTAGGAAGGAATTAGAAGAGTATTCACCTTCTAGACAAGATGGGATTGACTTGAAAAAGGAGACATATTTACGGAAATCATATTGTACATTTCTCCAAGATTTGGGAATGAGACTTAAAGTGTGAGTATTCTAAAGATCTGTAAATGTGTTATTGCCTGTAGACTTATGCCTTCTATTCTGTTTCTCCAGTGAAAGGCATTCAATTTTTTCCCTTTTAACTGTCATTTCACTTTCTTTAGAGCCTTCAAGAAACTCGGTCCATTCACTCCCTGATTTGATTTATTTCTAAGTGTTAAAGAGAGAGAGAGAGAGTAAATACACTCTAGAGCTTTTTCTATAGTCCAGTTCCTTTTGCTATTGTCTTATTTAGATCTAGCCAAATATGTAAATGCATTTATTATATCAACAAATAAATTTTATTGAATTGCTTCAAGCAGCTTCCTCTCTTTCTCCATTCTTTTGTGTGTGTGGCTCTCTCTCCACCTTCTCCCTGATAAGCTTGGCTCTTTTCAACATATTTCTTCCATTTATTTGTCTTTTATTTTTGGGGCCACAAAGGGTGTGTTTTGCGATGCAAAAATTTTCTCATGGATGAATATTTGGTTATCTTTGGCTACCGCAAGTTTTTTCACCTATGGAAATTTGAATGGATGATACTTGCTATATATATATGGACAAGAAACAAACTTTTCATTGATTTGTAAATATAAAAAATATTGAGTACAAACTCTCATGGAAAGTTTTAAAAAAGCATATGAATCAAAAGAAAAATGCCAAGGGGTGAAAATAAATTCTCCCCAATTCATTCAAATATCATAATGAAAATAATTTGAAATAAAGAAGAAAGGATCCAACAATAAAAAGCTCTAATGTTCATGTGGTCTAACCCTTTTTGCCATACTAAATGTTTTTCTGAAGGTCCATTGGTTTCTTTAACCAAATTTCAGGATTGACGGTATTGACAATGTTAACCCAAATTTAAGGGAGATATTACTACCAGTTTGCTTTTCTTTGTCTCTAGCTACGATCTACTATTCTATTATCTCAAATTATTATTCAATCCATTGTGATCTTTGTATCTATTATGCAGTTAATTATTTAAGCTATTATGCAGTCCATTGTGATGTTTTGTATTTATTATGCAGCCCCCAGGTAACCATCGCTACAGCAATAATTTTTTGCCATAGGTTCTTCCTTCGGCAGTCTCATGCAAAGAATGACCGAAGGGTAAGTTCATTCTTCCAGTTTTTGTTGAGAAATATTTATTTTGTGTGCACAAGACAAAGAGAATTGTTCTCTCAAGGTGGAGAAATGATATATTTTTGTTTTACTAGCATGTTTCCATCAACTCTTTTTGGAAAACTTCAGATGCTGAAGGGCAAAAAAAAAAAAAAAAAAAAAACTTTTAAAGCTGCATTGTGAATTCGATCATGATATGTTGTAGTCTTTGAGCATTATGGAGCTTTATGGATTGCAAGTTCAATTTTGATCATAGAAGCTTTTTCCTGATAAGTTGAAGACTTTATTATGAGAGCCCGTGGATGACTGATGTGGAAATTTGATGTCCATGGACCATGGGCATCTATTGTTCTGTTGCTCACGTAGGAATCCCAAACCTCTTCTATGATGGAATTTCTCATCGATATATAAATTGTGCAATCTCAAATTTTTTCTGACTTATAGGGAATGACGATACATAGTTAGACTTTTGGCTTTCCTAGGGTCCAGAGTTTGAGCATTTGCAGGATGATGTAGCTAGTCAATTTGGATCTTCTGTGTCAATAGAGGTCATTGACTTTGACAAATTTTTTTTAAGTCTTTTGAGCCTTGATATAGAAATAGGAAGAGGTTTAGGGATTGGTGCACGTTAACATTCTACTCAACTCATTTGAGAAGTTGCTCTTTTTTTTTATTACTGAGTTGTTCCCGGGTATCCTAAAAGAAAATGTTTTTATACATCCCTTTCTTACACTGGTGAGAGGCAGTTGCACAACAATTTGCTCATTTGTTGAACAGTGCAACGTAGAGATGCCTGCTTCTCGCTCAAAAGAACTGCTCACTAGCTCTCGTAAAGTCAGTAGTCAGCCTAATCAGGAGTGAAGCTACCTTGTTTACGCTGAAATCCGAGTTGAGTATCTAGAAAGTTAGTTTGTTTATTAGTTTTTTTTAAGGAACACCATCGTCTTGTTTCTACTTTTTCCAATTTCTCCTTTGGCTGTGCCATTCTCTTTTGTAGGTCCTTCCTTTTTACTTTCATTTGTCTTTATGGAAATTGGTTTCTTATCCAAAACGGAAAAAAAGTCACCTTATGGTCTTTATGGAAGCTGGTTTGTTCATATAACATACATCATTGCTTCAAAGGCCAAGTGAAATATTTTGGTTCAGTAGGGTGATAACCGTTAAATGGAGACTGTGTTTTGGAAGGAAAAAAAAATTGAGGGGAAAATACTAGAGGAGTCACCTTTAGGAACCCTGTTAATTTTTTTTCTGTTTTTGTACTTTAACTAAAAATCTTGTTATTGTAGCTTGATGCCAAGTTCTGCCAAATAGGGAATCTTTTTGTAATCCTTCTTCTGTACTCTCCGTTTGAAAATGAAATATTAGTTTCTTTTCAAACTACACAAACGCATAAACATCACTGCTTAGGTCCACCGAGGCACAACAACATCCTGTTTCTCAATTTTTCCTGCACTCTCATGGTTTGAGACCTTGTATCTAGTAGCTCACAAGCCACTTTGATTATCTTGGCTTCTTTTGCTTCATCAATTTCTTTGTTTCTTATGTCCCGAGTGGTAAGACTTGCATGGCCTTCTTCTTGCACTTAAGTTGGGTAGGCATTTTTCATCACGGTGATCATGAGTCCTCCCTCTTTGATTTAAATTCTGCGTTTTATAATCTCTGGACCATTTCAGTCTTTGATGTGCTTGAGCTACACATAATGTGTTGTTGCCACTTATTAGTTCCAGATCCATAGTATACATGTATGGCCTTGTTCATACACTTATGCTTAGTACGTTTTAGAGCTAAGGGTTTTGTTGTTCATATTCCTCCATCCATTTGGCCCAATTTCATAGAATACATTAGCTCATTAGGCTACCTCCACGTATTATGGAGCAACCAAATTTTGTTTGCATTTCCATTCGACCATTTCATTTCCCCCATCCATTGCAGCTGTATAACACCCTCAACTGCACAATCAGCCTTGTTGGCATTCAATTCCTTTCCTGTCCTACAATAATGGAACTTATAATTCTTCTCTGGTAACTTCAGCTTTCGGTGAATCAGCAAAGTAGCATGTCCTCAACCTCACAATTGTTATTTAATCATGTCTTAACTACCTCCTACATTCATTCCAAACGGTTTTCACATTTTTCTTGCACTGCTTTGACTTTGATCTCTTGTCACCCCTAGTCTCACATTTAACATGTAAAATGCGTGAGGTCAGGTTCCTAGTACATTGGAATGCATTATGGTCATTTTCATTTTTGAAAAATTTGTTGCATTTACAAGCCTTTTGTTGTGCTAAATAAAAGGCGTTGAAATGAAATCTGAAGCAGAGAAACCTGTCGCATAAGGTTTAGTTCATATTATGTATTGAGTAGATGATGTTATTTTAGTGCCTCAGTTTAGTTTAATTTTCTTGCAGACAATTGCGACAGTGTGTATGTTTCTCGCAGGAAAGGTTGAAGAAACCCCTCGCCCATTGAAGGATGTTATTATGGTTTCATACGAAATCATCAACAAAAAAGATCCTACTGCAGCCCAGAAAATCAGGCAAAAGGTATCAATTGGTTAGAGTGGGTCTATTTTCTGTTCATATTTCATGGTGGCTTGAAACCTGTACCCATGTGTTTTCATTTCTGACGTTGTTATTGCTAGTAGATCTTTTACTTTTGGCTTCAGCAACGTTGTAAAATTTTAATGAGCATTGTAATAGACTGATTTAAAAGAATTAGCATTGTGGTTTGAACACTTGGCAGCTAAAAATTTGGTCTATGGTAGGATTTAGTGAAAATAAGATTATGTTTGAAACACTAAAGAGCCATCACGGACTAATCTGGAGGTTGTTCAGTTTAACTCTGGACTAATGATTAATTTGTCTCCCTTGTTAGATGAAAATGAAAGCACGTATTTATTTAAACATATTCACATAATCTCCTGCAGGAGGTGTATGAACGGCAAAAAGAGTTAATTTTACTTGGGGAGAGGGTTGTTCTGGCAACTCTTGGTTTTGATCTTAATGTGCACCACCCCTACAAACCCCTTGTTGAGGCAATTAAAAAATTCAAAGTTGCTCAAAATGCCTTGGCTCAAGTAGCTTGGAATTTCGTCAATGATGGGTATGGGCTGTATGGCAGATTGCATGCCTTGGTTTTTGTTATTGCCTATAGATAGATGGCTTTTCTCCATTCTCTTTTCTTGAAATGGGGATGTGGTATGCAGATTGCGGACATCTCTTTGCTTGCAATTTAAGCCTCACCATATTGCGGCCGGTGCCGTTTTCCTTGCTGCCAAATTTCTCAAAGTTAAACTCCCATCAGATGGGGAAAAGGTGTGGTGGCAAGAGTTTGATGTCACCCCACGGCAACTGGAGGGTCAGTGTCAATGCATTTTCTTTGAATGTAGAAGAAGAGCACCGAAAACTGATGTTGCTCCTTGGACTTCATTTTATTGAAGTGCATGCTCAACAATTTTTCACCTTCTGTTTCCCACATCTTATGTTGTGAAAACCTACAGCTTAAGCCAGGAAAAAAGTTAACCTGTCTATTGATAAAAATGTTCACGCAGCAGTTATGCACTTGGAAAATTATCTGTATAACATGTTTAACTGTTCTCATTTTCCCTTTTGATAACTGGATGCGATTCTAACAGTGAACAGTTTTTTTCTGCAGAAGTCAGCAATCAAATGTTAGAACTTTATGAACAAAATCGACTGCCACCTTCTGGTGAAGCTGATGGAAACATTGGAAGTGGTCCCACTAATCTACCCACAACAAAAGCCCCTACTAACAGTGAGGAACAGGCTGTAACGGACAATCGTGCACTTGGTGTAGGTATTGCTACTTCAAGACTCGGAACCTCAAAAGCTGGTTCATCTAGGCCAGCATCTGAACACTCATTTGCAGGTGATCAGCCATCGAGAGCAATGCAGAATCATAGTGTTGAAAGTTCAAATGTAAATTTTAGAAGTCCTTCCAATCACAAAACGGGTAGTGAATCTAGGGTTCGACAGGAGATGGAGCCATCGGCTTTCCACGACAAGGGAAAGGCTCAAAACTCGACAAGGCTGATGTCAGAGGGATTGGATGAGCAAGACCGTAGTATTGGAAGTTCAAATGTAGATTTTGGAAACGATATGAAAATAAATGAAACGAGGGATGCAATGGAACTGAAAGACAAACATGTAATACGAAATATAGAGTTTAGAGAAGGTACATTTGGCAAACCTCAGGAAGCTATCAAGATTGACAAGGATAAAGTAAAGGCTGCGCTTGAGAAACGAAGGAAATCTCTTGGTAGTATGACCCAGAAAAAAGAATTGGTGGATGAGGATGACCTCATTGAAAGGGAGTTGGAAGCTGGGGTTGAAATGGCTGCTGGCAGTGAGAAAAACAAGCGAGAACAGAGGCAAAGTTGGAATAAGTCATCGAATGAACAGGAACCCGAGGATTCGTATCAAGATAAACATCGAGAGGATGATAGAGATGAGCATCCTCAACGAATGCGGCAACAACCATTGTATAATATAGATTCTAGCAACATGGAAGAAGGTGAGTTTGCAGATGCTAATGAAGTTGGTTATGGGTATCAGGAGTCCCCGAAATCGAACAACAGTCGGAAGAGAGGCAGGGAGCTCACAGGCTAGACTTTTGAAGAGAAAGCGAAGGCAAGGTGTGTCGTGTCGTGTTGGTGCAGGTGCTCAAACAGGAGTGACCACGAGAATCATATACCGGAGAATAAATGCTTGACAAGCTCACCAGAGTTTTATTCAGAATGTTTTAGGTATTAGTCTTTCCTAGAATCACTCATTGTCCAAGATTTGACGTAGCTGTTCACGTGAGAAATTCAGATTTAAAGGCTACGCTCTCCACGGGTCCTCTTAGAGCCTGATGTTTGTATGGCAGCTTCTGCTATGCTTTCCATGTAATTCACAACTTTAACAAAGCAACGATTTTGAATTACTCTATGGAGGAGGGTCTCTTTGACAACATCATAAGAAATGTGATGATTAATCGTTACATTTATAAATCGAGCTACTAATATTTGAAAAGCCAAATTTCAGCTTGGTCCTCGCATGATCCAACAAAAATACGTTTGAGTTTTATCGAGAAGTTTTCGTGAAATTAGCCCTAATTGAGGGAGTTGAGAACTAAAATGAAGCCGTTTTGCTTTCTTTAGGATGGGCGTGTTTTGGGCTGCAAGTCAATTTGAAGTTTGGAGGGAAAAGCTTACAAATTTGAAACTGGGAGCAAACAAAAATTCCCTTTTGAGGTTTCCTATACAACTTCAACCCTATCCTTTACCTACCCTCATTTCAAACAATGAATTTCAAAATCGGACCAAACCAATAACAAAAGGGAGCTCCAGATACTCTTCTTCTTGAAGATTTTTCGCGTTTGTTGAGCCCTAATTTTCCTCTTCGATCTGGATTTCTGTCTGTCTCCCTTTTGCTGCTTCATCCTCTACCTACCGCTACTCCGTCTGTGATTCTTAGAGTTCGAACGGAGAGATCGAGAATGTCGCAGAGTGATGGGCTAGATTTCCATCTGTCGGATGAGCTTCTGGCGGTGATTCCAACGGATCCATACGATCAGCTCGATCTTGCTCGTAAAATCACCTCCATGGCGATAGCATCTCGTGTTTCGAATCTTGAAGCTGAAGTGGTTAGGATGAAGCAGGAGCTTCAAGAGAAGGAAAGGGCCATCTTCGACCTGCAGGAGAAGTTGTCTCACCTCGAGCACGCGAACCAGGAAGCTGAGTCCAGGTTGCAGATTGCGCTTGATGATAATGTAAGTGGGTACAGTGTTTGTTACTGGAACTGCTTGGAAGATTTGTTTTTTGTATTGGCCAATCATGGAGAAATGGCGATGATTGTCGCTGTATCCCTGTTGTGTTGAGATATTTTTCGATTTGTTGAGCATCTCAATTTCCGCGAAGATGTATGGGTGATAGCTCGGTACTTCGCTTTTGGTTCGAAATTCGGGCAAGGCCAAAATATTCGGTATTTTCTTCTTAGCATCGGCACTTCAGAACATAGATTATCATCTAGCTCTGATTATTGTATGATGATCCGAATTTAAGATTTGGTGACATACCTGAGTTTAAGATTTGGTGACATACCCGAGTTGAGCGATAAAAGTTAATTAAGGAATAACATCGTTTGAATAGAGCGGTACGGAAATGTGGTTTGGGGTTCTAGATTCTTTAGTCTAATAGAATATTGGCATTGCTTTTGGTGAACTCTTGAGCTCAATTCTCTAGTTCCTCAATGAAGCATATTTGAAGTAATGTTGGTTTCACTACTTGTTATTTATTTTGTTTTTTTGTTTTTGTGTTTATAAAGACGAGGCTTTCCAAGGAACGGGATTTACTATCAATGACTTCCAAGAAACTTGGACGTGATTTGGCTAAGGTGAGATTGAGATCACTCTTATACAGAAAAAAGCTACTTTTATATCTCTGTTGCATTTAGCTTTGGTTGGCTACTAGTCTAACTTATAGCGAAAACTTCTTTATGGTGCAAACGGAAAGGAGATCTCTCATGTTTTGCTCATAGACCTTATAAGAGCTAGCATATGACCCCATTACGCCATTGATACCTCTAGACTTGAGCATCTGCCTGGCTTATAAATTCATCAACAATTCCTTGATTTCTTTGCCTCTTATCTCGTCTTTAAATCTTAAAATATTTCGTGCTTATCACTATGAGTTGGCTTCATGGGGGTTCGGTCAGGATTTTGGGAAGTCGGGTTAGGGTAATTAAAAAGTAAGATAGGCACTGTCTATTTCCTTAGATAGCCTGATAAGTTACACTTGGTTAGAATTCATATTTCTTGTCATAAGGCTGGTGTGTTTTCTATTGACAGCTGGAGACATTTAAGAGACAACTTATGCTATCATTGAGTGATGAATCCTCTGTAAGTTTCCTGGTCCATAAATGTTTCCAGTTATGTTCGGCTGATGTGATAATGCATAATTCTTCATGTATAATTTCTTCTGCGTTGTCTTCTTTTAACAGCAAACTGAAACTGTTGATATTGGGACATGTGATCAAGCAGTTCCTAAAGCATCATATACTGTCAAGGGTAATATAGAATTCCTTGTCCTTGTTTTCCTTAAATTTTGACATCTCAATAAACTATTATGTTCTTGGTGTTCAATTGACTTAACTCTCACCTGACTCCAGATGAAGTAACAGATGGGCCCGCCTCACATTCTTTCAGTGATTCTAATGATGCGAAAAACACAATAGATGGAGGTATTGTGGATTCTACCCTGTTCAATGCAAACTATAGATGATAAAGAATTGATAACAATTAGATTATAATCATCTATACTTTAAACAATGCGTTAATTGAAATCCTGGAGAATGTTGGCTGCCAGTTGATCTTCGAGGAATCCTCTTCAATTTATGGTGGATAAATTGTACACTCATGGCGATATTTCATCTTAAACAGGAAAACATATTGGACAAAGATATTCATCGCCATATATCACCCCAAGGCTCACTTCCGCTGCAACTCCAAAGATTATTTCAACAAGTGTATCCCCCAGAAGGTATTCCACCGTTGCTACCCCACAGATAACGTCTGGTTCAACTTCTCCAACAAAACCCTCATATGATGGACGGATTGCACTATCTCCATGGTATCCATCAAGCCAGCAGTCTTCAGCTGCAAGTTCTCCTCCTCGTTCTCGTCAACTGGCTGGTAAAGAAAGCTTTATTTTTTGTCTTGAAGTTTTCATCTCTTTCTGTGCCTTTTTTTTTATATTACGATTCTTGTAAACCCTTTGCACTTAAATGCTGAAGGTCGCCCTGCTCGAGTTGATGGCAAAGAATTTTTCCGCCAAGCCAGGTCTTTTTTCTTTTTTCTTTTTTCTTTTTTCTTTTTTAATTTAAATTTAAAAATTTAGAAGTAAAAAAGAACATGTTGTCTGATGAATCAGTAATTTATTCCAGGAGTCGTCTGTCGTACGAGCAGTTTAGTGCCTTTCTTTCTAACATAAAGGAACTCAATGCTCAAAAGCAGACCAGAGAGGTAAATCTATCAGTTTCTAACAGTTTGCTTAGAACTTTTACACGTTGGGACCTTTTTTGTTTACTAGTAGTAAATGGTTTCAACTGCCTTTGCTTCCAGGAAACTTTAAGAAAAGCAGAAGATATATTTGGGACGGATAACAAAGATCTTTTTGTGTCATTTCAAGGATTGCTTAACCGCAATGTTCACTAGGAGGCCCTCTCTGTTCTTGAGATTATTTACACCAAATAGGATCTTTCCTTTTAGAGTATTAGAGAGAAAATCCATGAAGTTTGTTCTGAACGGCTGCCTTTCTCCCTCTGAAGGCCTATGTATGCTGCATGCAGATTCACTATGTTTTTGTATAATATAAAACATCGAACCCTCTTGTAGTTGAAACTTCATTTTTCTGTAGAAATAATAGAGTTTGGTTTTTTAGCGAAGTGACAGAAGCAATAGATTTCAAAGGGGTTTCTTTCTTACCTCCATCAAGTGGTTTTGTTGTAGCATCTGAAGCTCTATGACAACTCTATTTGGGAAAAGTACTTAGTTTCAGTCTATGTTTCTCACTTTAGCCACACATTCGAAGGATTCAAAGGGGGCAGTGCTGTGCTGTGCTGTGCTGTGAAGGGTGCATTTAAAGGAGGGAAGTCAGTGTGATGTGATTGAAAGAAACTAACTTGTTTATGATGAAGGCCAGTGTTTCACTAATATTAATATGTGTGAAATATCAGCAGGGGCTTGCAGAGAGAAGCAACCCAGAAGCCTGATCATCATATGCTCCAAAATCAGCGTACGTTCACTTACAAGCTATCTCTCTCCATCACAGCGCCAACTTGTCTAGCGACGTACCAACTTGGGTGAGATTGATGTGAAATTCTGAATTATTAGATGGTGACTCAAGGGGTAAACCCTCAGGTAAAAGTGATGCTTCTTTCTACCAAGAAAAGAAATGGGAATCATTCTGTTTTTTGCTTTTCTTTTTGGGTTGAACTACTACTACTTTAGTCCATTGATCTAACCCCCTTGCAGTATGGTAACGTTTTGCTGTTTTCACATGCTAATAGTAGTCTTCTTAGTCTTCTTCTGTGACACTTTTTGTTTTTTTCAATTGGATGAAGAGAAATGATGAGGTAACATTTAGGTAAATTCACAACACCATTCTTCCTTGAAAACCACCCTCCAATTTCTCCCTGTGATATGACTTCCAAGAACTACATTCCTCAAAACCCATGGCCATTTGTACCAAAAACTCGAGAACCTAAATCCCGAGAAATAGTGAAGAACCCTCTTGGTTAAGGATATATGTCTCAAACATTAGGCTGTTAGCATATAGGAAGTATTTGAAAGTAGGGTTTAGGCATTGCATTGGCATTGAATGAAGGAATGAAGGAAGGAAGGAAGGAAGGAAGGAAGAATGGAAAAAGGTGTTGAGAAGCACCCGATACTCATAGGCTTTACAAATTCCTTCAAACGCACACAGCCAGATAGATGGAAACGATAAGAATTTGGTCAAAGGAATCTTCAGAAATTGGCTGTCACTAATTTTGATAAGATTGAGGTTCTCAATTTGTTCCTTCTCTTTCAGCATATATATAATATAATATATATGTATGTATATATAGACTTTTTTTTTTTTTTTTTTTTTTTTTTTTTTTTTTTTTTTTTTTTTTTTTTTTTTTTTTTTTTTTTTTTTTTTTTTTTTTT